CATTCATTTGCTCGACACTAGATTGCTAACCACATCCACTAGAGAATACGGTAAACGAGGAAAACCTTCATTTTCCTTCGTGGCTCTAATTTCGCTAATGCACTCTATAGTAGCATAGGTAAGCTTTATCAAAGATCCAAAGACTACCTCTGTTGTATGCAGACTTTTGAAACTTCTAAAGGTCCTTGCATCACTGCCCACTTTCATTGTCTCGCTCTGCCAACTAATCTGCATGCCTTATAATTCATTATATCCTGGACACGACCGAAGTGTCATATTAGCATTGTAAAGCCTTGTTTGGGTTTGTCGAGATTCCGCGCCAATCAACGGTTTTTTACAGCGAAGTCGTGTCGTCTTTGCAATTTACCAATCGCACTCATATAGAGTGCAAGGGATTCATAGAAATGATGAAAGAATTGGAGCTAAATTGTTTAATTTTTGCGGCCAGCGGATTAGCGAGGCTAATTTCTTATCCTTGCAAATCAACTAAGGAACAAGTAATGTCCAACTAGGTTCTTTCAAATGAGCAGTATGAAAAGGAATTTTCAAGTAACTTGATTTATTGTCAAAACATGAGGACTGCGTATCAAATGATGTGTCGCATTTTTCGTTCAATGTCTCCTTGAGCCTCTATAGTGCGCCAAAACCTTTCATGTCCCAAAAGTGCAGACTGTGGATTGTCTCCAACGTTTCTCAAAACTTATTCGAAAAGTGCCTACAGCGTATCCGCCTAAATATATGCCTTTTACTTCTATTAGGGAGATATGAGGTTATGGAAAGCCTCCTCACACTATCACATGACTAGCCGCCACATAAGCTTAACAGTTGAGGGAGGTGAAGAATGCGCTCTCAAGCAACTTACTTCCAACCTACTCCTCCTTAGCATCATCTTGTTCCTCATCATTGAACTTCAACTCCTCGCCTCAAACATGGATCGTTTCCTCCAAAATGATACGCAACCGGTTGAAGTGACTGAAGGTAACGAATACACCCTTGATGAAGAGGACCTCACTCCCTCCATGCAATGTCGATGGCCACCGCCGGACATTAAAAGTATAATGGTGAATAAGGGTTTTAATATCACCCTCTGTGTGCGGAGCTCACGCCATGCGTCAGCGCACAAACGGGTGAAAAAGTATGCGCTACAAGACTTGTTTGCCTTGTCCAAATTTAGAGGATCCATTACTTTTGAAGGGCTGAGCTTGTTACCCCACCGATTTTGGGAACGAGTGAAGAAGCCACAAATCTACCTCACCTACCCTCAGGATGTACCCATGAGTGACATTGTCGAGGCCGTTAAAGGAGGTTATCGTGTACCCGAGGTTAGTTAATTTGTGATGCATCCTCTATTGTTAGCGAACAGCATTAACAAT